ATATTCTGTGGGCCATGAAAGTTTTTGTGAAAATTATCATAAATGCTGGCAGTGGCTGTAAACTTAAAAAAAAAAAAAATCCTGGATGGGAAAGAGTTAAGTATACAGCCCTTTTGATTTATTCATCCGTGGCAATCCACGTTATACTGCAAATTCCACTTTTATGACTGGATTGCACGATTATGTCCGTCTTCTGTCAAGATTCTTTCTTTCATCAACCTTATAATAGGACATACAGTAGATCCCTATATAAACACACACACACATGAATGGAATATTAGGAATGGACAAATCTGAGGCTTTGGAAAACCTCAGTTGTTGGAGAACTGATTGGCTACTGATGGCTTCATGGAAAAAACAGTCATGTGCACTTTTCATTCCCCTGCAGACCAAGGCGCAATCTAGAGCTGCAGATGGTCGAAGTCTCCCCATTAATCTTTTATTAGTATGTAATTATTTTTTGCCGCTGCATAATTAATAACGTCACTTTGATTTCTATAGTCACGGTGTGCGATTACAGAGAGAGTGTGAACGCGACATTCTTCCCAGCGATGTCAGCGAGTATGACAGCCATCCGTGTCATTGAGACTGACATTTGACCAATGTTGGGCCAGTGATTGGTGGGAATTTTAGGGGTGAGGTTCAAGTTACTGAAGCCAGCAATGGGTCAACGGCACGCTTGATACAACTCTTCTAATCCCACAGGGAGAACGCCCAGGTACTTGGTACTGTTAACACTGGGCCAACGTTAGGCCTTGGTTTGCTTGGATGGCTGGGTAGAGGCCAGGCTTCTGCTGACTGAGGGCTATTTCTGAAGGACATTGGGGATGGTACAGCTGGTGTCCCTGCTGTTTAGAGTGTAAACCAGCCAGCCTGCTGAAACAAAGCCAATCGGCTGCTGCTGAGAAACCGTCTGTCCTCAATGGAATCAAACCCATCTCTTTTTCTTCTTTCACCTCTGTTTTGTGCTGTCATCCGCAGTTACTGTCTATACATGTTACAGTACAAAAGATGGAAAAGATTATGCTTTCTTGGTCCATTCAGATTTTAGGTTTAGATTTGGCGACATGCTCCTGGATCAGCATGTTTTTGCTGGTCCTGGAGAAACATTCCTGAACTATCCCTAACTCCAACCCTAGCCATTAAACAAAGTTTAAATCAGAAGGAAATAATAGCTTTATATGAATGTTGTTGCTCTAAATTCTAATCGAGGAACACATTTTACTTCACGGTCAATCTGGTCTATGATTGATAAATGTTGTTGTCTTACTTGACTGAATTGTGTTGTACCTCATACAAGAATGAGCCTTAAGCTTCAAACTAAAGTATGGATTCTGGGTAAAAAAATAAATAAAAAAATTCGATCTTAAGATTGATGTTATGCTCTGTGAATATTAGTTTACAGTCTGTTCAATGTGACGCAATAAAAAAGACCACAAGAATATAGCATATATCTCAAATAAACAAGCATATATTTCTATCTGGTTCAATTGGTATACCAATTCATGAACAAATGACCCTTATGAAACTGATCTTATTAATGAATCAAAAACAAACAGCACAACCAGTCGGATGTAGTCGATTCCCAAAATTAATGAGCAAATTACTTTTATGATCAATTGCCAGCTTTCAGAATTAATAAATAAATATAAAGATTAAGTTACTTATCATAACAGATACGCTGTCGGTCACTCACTGCACCAAATCCTGGTCACTTTATATGGAAAGGAGCTCACTTCTTTTCTCACAAATCCTCCAATTTGCTGAAATGCATCTAAGGGATCAGAACCTAAAAAATACTGCTGACATTATTGCAGTACTGGTGCAGTCACAGCCACCTGGAGCACACTGCATACCAATTCAAAATAAACCATGATGACTGTAATTAATATTCCAGTCAGATTAAGTGCACATTAAATTACCTACAAACTGCATCAATAATGCATGATCTTCTGTTTCTATTGCTTTTAAAGATGCATAGTGTCTGGACACAAAATCCACGTGTTTTCTTAAAGCGCCCCTATTATGCTTTTTCAAATATTACCTTTCATGCAATGTGTAATGTAGCTGTCTGTGAATGTAAACAAATCTAAAAAAAATGCTAATTAGCTGTGGCCTACTATTCCACCCAAAATTGTGTCCAATAATGCACATTGTCTGTTGTGTCTTACTACTTTGAGTAATGATAAAGGATGGAGCAAGACTTGTTTTACTAACTTTAATATTACATCAGTCATTCACGTTAGTGCTCAGCTAACATATGTGCTGTTATTGATATAGTCAATGATACAGTTCCCACGTGTGCACCGCAATAAAATAGAAATATACACATCGGTTTGTTGATGGACACTTGTTAATGCTGATTTTGAGGAATTACACCTGCAACATTTCATAATGTACGTGAAAGATCCTGCTCAAGCCGTTCTTGTGATGAATGGTTCGTTCATCGGACTCGCGCTCGGATTGATATGGTAACATCGACGGCATCATTACTGTCTTTACAGTGTGTAGAATCGCTCTAGGAAGCCTCCGGAGCTGAAGTTCAGTTATGATAATGGGCGTTTCTTTTCCGACATGCACTGTAAGCGGTAGACTAATCATTACAGACTGGGCCATCTGGCCAATCCGAGCAGAGCAGGCTTGTGGAAAGGAGGGATTTAGAGACATCTCTCAAGAGACTGCGGCAGGTACAGTCACAGCAGAATGCAGACGGACAAAAACATTTGAATATTCGATCTGTAATTATTATTTCGAAAAATAAAAAACTATATTCGAATTTTACTACGTTGCTTTGCTGGCCGTCAATGCAGTGAATCCATGATAAATTCCGAGCACTAACTCACAGTTATAATTAAATGCACTGGGTGGCGCTGTGGAGCAAGTTAACAAGTTGATTGTATTTGATCATATAATGTCGCCGTCTGCCTCGCAAAGTTTGGAATTACTTAGATGAAAATTATCTTACAAAATTATCTTACAAAATGGAATTACTTTTAATCAAATAAATTAATGAAACTGAGTTATATCACCACCACAATGAGAAATCACATGAAATCCAAACACCAGTCGAATGAGGAATGACAGCTGTCAATCACTGCATTAACGATTGCAGGTAAGCAAGCACAGCTGTACCCCGAGTGATCCGAGAATGATAACTTATCAGTTAGCAAAATGATTTTGAGACATATGCTTCCTTTAAGTTTAATTGAGGGAGACGGGTTTAAGAACGGAAAACGTGAAGTTCTGTTAGAAACTTTGCTTAGCACACCTTTATCTTTGTCTCTGCAACGTCTGTCAACACAGCACGTTTTCTCACTCGATCATGTGGATATTTTTCCGCGCTGCTTGAGCTCAAATGCTTTTGTTCTTTATATTTTTTCTACTAAAAGAAATCCTTAAGATATATATTAAGCTTGTTCAGAAATGGTGATAAAAGCGTAAAAAATATCGTCTTTCACGTTAAACGTAATTTAAATATTCGAATATACGATTTTTATGAGCCCAAATATTCGAGTATAATATTTTCTAAAAATGCCCATCCCTAGTTCAAATTTGCTCTATTTTTTTTTATTCTTTACATGTGAGAGTTAGACAATGTCAATTTGGGCATCATGTAAAGAGAAAGATCATCAGGTAAAGCATTAAGTTAGATTGATACAATGACAGCAGATCTGGGAATTGCATTATTCATAACCGGTTGTTTGACTGAAGATAAGATTGTTCAGAAGTGCTTTCTATGAGACCGCTATGAGTCGACATTGAATTGATGGCACTCAACAAAAATAGATTTGTGCATATTAATAGATGCTGTACAGTTATCCAAATACAGCTCTATAAAGGCTATAGTTTCATTTTTGTTGTAGTAGTTCAGAAAGTCTGTATGATTTAAAATAAAAAAGTAAGAGAGTTTCCTCTAAAATGGCATGTTTCTTGAAATTGAGATTTGGATTGCACATCAGTATATGCTGTTTACCTTTTTTACTATTAAATTAATTATTACATTTTCATATTTCAAGTCAAACAGTTATTTACAAGGCAGCTTTATAACTTTTGGACTGTTTAATTAACACAGATAGCATATTAGCCCTGAAGTTTCTTTCTTTTTTGTTTGTTTATTTATTTATTTAAAACTTTAAATAACTTGTCATTCTTTGCACAGTTATATTTTAACTGCATAATTTTACAATTTTGCATTCCACAACCACATCTTGCAAGCAGGAGCAGTTTGACATTTAATTTCCAACAAAAGAGATGAGTCATTTACCCTTCTTACTTTTTATATCTTTGTTCTTATGCAACAAGCTGGCCTTTAGAAGTGGAGGCACTGCACTGTGAAATTGTCAAACTCTGAGCATAGCAACAGTGAGGTCCACAAAAGAGACATCAGGCAATCCATTGGGAACCATTATTAGCTATGTCCGCCATCCAGATCCAGGCCATTTCAAAATTAATGAACATCGGACAGAATAATAGCCACTCTACAAGCATCTCTCTTCAAGATGGGAGGTCACGTTACCCATAATTCATCCCATTAATTAGCACCTGCCTTTCCTAACAGTGAGCCACCCTTGCTATTGATGGAGCTCTCTCTGGGGAAATCACAACCTCTACACCTAGATGTTCCTCTGAGACGTCTTTGTCTTCATGTGCGCATGAACGTCTACAAGTCGCCATGCCGGGACTTGCTATGTACACCATCCAGCTTCCAACCCCATAAAGTACATGAACACGTTCCCAGTAGGGTTTTGTAAACGTCCTTGTTCGTCCTTGCCCTGCCTCCAGCCTTTGCTTAGGATGTGTGAGGATGCTAATACTAGCTGAGAGGGTCATCTTAGTTGACTGCTGCCAGAACCATCGCCTGCTGACTGCATCATCATCCACGATAGCCAATCGCAGCCAAGGACTCAGTGATGCTCTGCCACTCTCACTGGAGGGATTCCGAAGGAAGTGCCTCGTGACGGTGCATGGTTAAACAGCCAAGAGTCTCTTTCTCTCTCCCTGCCTCTCTCTAATTCAGGACTGAATGCATACACATTCTGGCTTCTAACAGGGGTAGCACATTGCCATGCACACTACTCCCTGCAGGCTCAGCAGAGAATAGCGACAACAGCAGCTCTCTCCCTCTCTCTCCACCTCTACCAGACAAGACTCCTCCTCTCCATCTCTCTGTGACTCCCTCTCTCCTGCATATGATCTGTACTTCACTTCCTCCCAGCTGAAGCAGGAGATAACAACAAGCTACATACAGGTAGGCATTCATATTTCCCTCTCTGAAGTTGCAGGTGTTCGGATGTTGCTGGTTTGTTTCGTATTTGGTGCGATTCTGAAAGAGACCTATACTGGATCAGAGTAGAGCGTGCCATCATAATGCCCGCCCCTACAGCGTGGCATTTGTTTTCGCGCCAACACTGGTTTTTGGCACCGTTTCCTTCCTCTTTCTGGCTGGCCAGGGAAGGTGGTAGTTTACTGGTTGGATGGTTCATGTGAGAAACCCATCATCTACTGCCATGCTTGGTTGAGATCTGCTTATCCAAGTAGGGCAGAATGATTTGTTTGTAGCTGTGTTTTCTTACGTGTAGGTTTGTGTGTGGGAGTGTGTGTGCGGAATGACGGCTGAGGTTGGAAGGGAGGGGAGATGGAAGCTGAGAAGCTGTATTCATCCCAGGGAAACTAATCCCACCACAGTCCTCCGTATCTGATAAACACTCTCTTCGTCTTTGCTCCCTCTATCCTTCATGTGTGATGGGTTTATCTGTGTCAGTGGATAGTGGAGGAAATTATTCCAGAATGGCAGATAATTCCCACTGTAAAAGAGGTTCTTTGAACCATTATTTGTTCTGCTCTGGGAGTCACGACTGCAAACGTATATTCAGAGACAGATGCTGTCTCCTTCAACCTATAGTATTAGCCGAAGAAAAAGTAGGTTTTGTCCCTCATTCTGAATCACAAGATTGTTATCAAACCATACTTAAGCTTCCCTGTCAACTCAAACTCTCATTTTGTTTGCATTTGTTGGATTGCATAACACACTACAATCTCTTATAGTTATGTTATCAAGGACTTGGGCCATTGTGGCTAGCTGTTGCCCACACCAACAAATGCGCCTGTCATTACCTCATATCTGTGTTGGGCAGATCAGCGGTTGCTATGCACGCCTAGTGAGAGCGAGGAGCAGGGATTGCTCGGCTGTAGCCTCGGGCTTATCCAATTCAGCTGTGCAGATCCTCCTCTGGAATACATCAGTGCTTGAGGAGCTGCAGTAAAACAGTTGCTAAGTGATAACATAGGAACAGCTTGAAAAAAATCATCAAAATAGACCACCACTTCACATTAAGATGCATGTGCTGTGATTATCTCTGCGATTCTTATAACCTTCCATTATAAACAAACCATCACAGCAATAATTTCAGTTTACCGATATTTTGTTCACAAAGTTTTTGAACAAAGTTGGCTCTGGATTTGAGTTCTTACACTCTCCGATTAATATAATAATATATAATAATGCACCAAATTTAGATTCTTTGCGTACATTCATTCAAAACAATTGAGTCTTCAAGGAGTCTGCACACCAAATCTGAGAACATAAAAAAAGTAAATAAAAATATTGTGGGAGGGAAGCTTGTAAAAAATTGTTTTTACAAAACATTTATTTTGCATATGCATTTACTTATTATAAAAAAAAAAACGATCATGGACATAAATTATTACTTTGTATTACAACTTTTTATTTTGAGGTTTCCTTGTAATGACTATAATGGTAGTAATGCATTATTGTGAACATGAATTGGTCCACAAAGTAAGTTAGCTATGGCTACGAGTCCCATCCCATCGATAATATTCTTCGCTCAAGAGAATCTGTTGGCTTGAGAAGTTCCTTTTCCCCAAGGGTCTTAGACGTACAATCTCAGAGGTTTACTGACAACCACAGCAACACGGCACAAAGATTGTACGTGTTGGGGCAATATGGGATAGCAGATGTTGGCCCAAATATGTCACGCCCCCTGCAGTTGCCAAGGGCAACATTGTGCATTATCAGCCTTGTTAAATATCCATTAATGAGGTGAGATACAAGCCCGGTACTGCCGAAAGGTGGAGTTAACCATCCCTTGTACTGTCTCTTATGCTCAGCAGGGCATCTGTGGAAGTCTTTAATGTCAGCCTGTGAGATTAGGATCATTCACCTGGATGATCTTTTTTTTCGTCATTCGCTTACACCGTTCCCGTTTGTGTTGAAATTGAATGTAGAGAAATAAATGCAAGCGCATGTGTACATATGTGTGCGTGCCTGCAGAGGCCAAAATGCTGTTGTTAGGAGTAATAGCAGCCAGAAGATAAAAATAGCGGCTCTATTATGATTTGACCTTGGACAGCTGGCTGCTTGGCTGCAGATACCTGGGCGAGAGAAGTGTACGGATCACTGACATGCTCCATGAAGAGTCTGGGGCAGCCATGATAAATGTGTGTAATAAAGGAGCGATATGTTCTTGTTGCGTTACACCACAGCAGGCACAGACACTATCTAAAGGACACTGTCACTGTGGATTTGAGTAACTGGGACAGAATTAAAAACCAATAATATATTACAAACATGGAAAATTGAAGGTGAATCTCACCTTTTTTTTTATGCGATCGAACTTCCAGTGACAAGATCTAGACTATGAGGATGTTGTAATTTATATCCATTAGACTACTGGATTGAGCATTTTCAAGCTGGCAGTGTCTTTTTGTGACCCACACCAACAGTAAGGCAGTAATTCTTAACCCAGTGATTGAGATGGATAACAAAAAACAAGCCTGTGTTTGTACAGGCAAGCAGCAGGGGTCATACATATCACAAGCAACAAGGACTTGTGGGAAATGCTGGTGAATAAATATTGTTTGATGTATTCGAGAACAGGAACTCTCTCAAGGTCAGTAGAAGAGCGATGAGATTGTAGGGTTGACAAAGTGCTTTGCCCTAATATAATATAGACTCGTTTTATAAGTCTTGTTTGAAATCTATGTATACACATTTAAAATGTCTACACATTTTATACTTTTTAAAATTTGTATACACACATTTATTTTATTATTATTAGATTTTATTTTAGGAACAAGCTTGCACATGCATCAAATAAATTTGTTTTAACATCAGCAAACTATAAAAAAAAACTATTAAAAAGAACCATTAACAGACATTATCTAAAAAAAGCCAATTTTTACATACTTTTAAATGGTTCTTGATCTTGTATAATACAAAATCTTAATTCTGTAATTATAATAGTATTGCACAGTATGCAAAGTGACATAGATTACAGCATATCTATTCTTGCGGTTCTTATTCTTAAACGTGACATCCATAGTCCACCAGTAATATAAACGATCATGTAAATTCATAATATCAGCCAAAAACTTTATTTTTGTATTGCATAACATGGAAAATGTATCATAAATATTACTCATGTGAATGCTAAATAGCTGAATTATGTTTTTATCTCTGGATTTCTGCTAGGGAAATACAGTAGATGCAATTGCCTTATTGGGGCTGCTCACTGTTCCACATATTGCTAAGCAACGGAGGAGAAGTCCTTAGAGAATGTAGCCAGCCTTCTGACTCCATAACACAGCCTTGGCACATGCACACATACACACACAGATGGTGGTGAGCAGATCCCTTTCCATAGTGTTTGCTACGCCTGTGTTGCTATGGCGGTTACATATGCACGTAGTTAGCGGAAGTGATGTAATGTCCTTCTCTTTAATCGGTGCTCAAGGGGGCAATCAAGTGGCGTATCCTCACCTTGAGCCCAAATGACTATAAAACAGTTGTTTTCTCTGGTGGATTTAACAATGGCACCCTTCCTAGTCTCCTTAGCATCTATATTATTTTACTAGGGCTGTCAACTGATTAAAAAGTGTCATCAAATTAATTACGTTTATATGCTAATAAATTAAGCAAATTAATCACAATCACATAGAGAAAAGCTCCCAAATGACAATACATTCATAGACGTTACATTGTTGTCGTACACTGTAAACCCTAATAAGTTGAGTCTACTCAAATAATTTAAGGAAACTCATTCCCCCAATTTAATGGAGTAATGGTGCCTAACAAAACTTGTTTTATCAAGTTCACCAAATGTGGTTTTGCTGCCAAATAAATCAATTAAACACCTTATGATGCCAAAACATGGTATTACAAGTTATGATAAGTTTATTGATTTTGTAATGACAACATTAGGGTTTACAGCGAAACCATTGAATATACATTATATAGACACAAGTCAGTATACGTGTCCCATATAATTAAATGCCTATTACTGACCTACAAACCTCAGCAAAACATTTAGCAATCAGAAGTGCCTGATTGTAGACTTGTGTGAATTATAATTATAATTATAATTATTTTTTAAATTACACATTTGTGGTCTTTTTTATATAGTTTTATACAGTCTTTCTCTGGTTTTAAGACACCAAGTCAAGTTTAAACTGAAAATGTGTCTCGTGACTCCATGGTCTGTTCCATTCTGAACACAAGAACACATTCTTTGACATCAACTCTATGCTCATTCTGTGCTGCCTAATTGCTTTATACAAACGCATTCAATTTAGAATCCAATTTTGTTTACATATATGCTTATGGTCAAGCACCACCTTGCCTTTATCTGGTTTTAGAGGGATTTGGCCTTGATCGTAGTGGATCTACACTGGTAATACTAGGATTACATGATCAATACAGACTTGATCAAAACAGAGAGGAAAAGCATTTTGGCTTTACAGAAATCCTCCTCAAGGTATTGCTTGTAGCTCGGCCACAAACATAACATGGAAGTAATTCAAGTAATTTCTTCTACACCATGTCATGTGATTGATTTAGTCAAATTGACTCAGCCAATAGAGATTTACTTTATAATGCAAACCCCCCCCCCCAATTCTATTTAATAATTATACTAAGTAATGATTTGGAACAATATAAATAAAAAATAAGCTTGGTTTACTCTAATTTCTTGCAAAGAGTTGTTGCAACCAAAAAGCAGAGCAGCACTCTATGTACAATTAGGTCATTTCCATTAGCAAAATTCATTCAGAATGTTATTGACGAATGTTAAAACATGTGACAGTCAGCGATTTAAGAAGAGCTTTATAAATTCTCTTTCTGCATGGCTTGTCACACTTCAATTTAAGCCACAATAATTCAGCATGAATGTGCACTAGTGACAATTATGAATAATTGAATGCTTTCACAGAAGCATCAGCATTTCATTTGGG